GGGCTGAGGCCGCGTCAGCACTCGCAGGTGCCCTGGGGCGGCCCAGGGAGCTGCCCTTGGCACTGCCCCTGTCCTGGGAGGTTTCTCGCCCGGGAGGGCGTTTGAGCTCCCCTCTGTCTGGTGTCACTAGATGGGGACGGCACGTCCTGCGCGTTCTGCCCTGGAAACAGGCGCCCTCGGTCGTCTGCCTGGCAATAAACAGCTCTCGCTGCTCTTCTCAATAGAAGTCTCTGAGCACAAATTCCTTCCGAGAGCCTTCTGTTCCCTATGTTCTGCCCTGTTCCAGGTCCTGTCTTTGGCAGCAAGGACAACTTTCACGGACTGGCTATCTTCCTTGATACATATCCCAACGATGAAGCGACGGAGGTGAGTAGTTCAGGGAGCTGGTTCAGTGCCGAGGAGGCTGTGTCCTCCAGGCTTTGTGCTCTGAGTGCTTCACACCCGGACCAAGGAAAAGTCTCTCCTTACGTGAGAGTGAGCTGCTCTTCCTGCCACGGGAGCTGGTAAAGGGAAGAGTTTGGATGTGCATTAACGGAGATAAGAAGGTCCTTGCTCCGCCTTCTGCTGCTGTTGACTACACAGATGTTTCCAAGGCCTTTTCCCCTCAGGATGAGAGGGCAGCATGGAGCTGGTGTGAACTATGCACCACCTATTAAGTTAAGTTAGAGGAATCTACCTGAAAGCATATTTGTCCCGAGTGTCATTTCTTGAACTTTTCTGTGCTTTGGTTGATCGTTCCGCATTGTTTCTGGCCTTATTCTCTGTTTCCAACCTGGGTGTCTCTAAAAGGGAAACTCCTGGGCTGGCTTTTTGCACCAGAATTCCCTGTGGCTGAAACACAGATCAGTCCCGTGCGGGCTGTTGGTCCTTTTCTTTTCTCCTGCTCTGTGTTTGTGGATGTTGTTACGGCACAGTCAGAAAACATAACTGTGGTAGTGAGATCTATTGCACCGAAAACATGACGCTTAAGTCATAAAGCACTTGGAGATGACCCCATCCCCCTCTTGTCTTGATGCTCACCGAGAGCTGAATTCTTGCCTCCAGTTGGCCTCTTCCAGTGTACGTAATCTGCTGACTACAAAGCCCTGCGTGTGGTTATGCTGCTCACGTGAGATTTCTGCCCGTTCTGAGTCCTGTGCTCTGTTCTTACACTTCTTACCTGGTCTGGTGCTTACTCTGCAAGTCTGGGGCGGTCTCCTTGCCCTGGCCGCAGCGGTGCGGTGTGGGCTGATGGGGGGTCTTGGTACAGAAGGTCAGAAACGGCTGCTCTGCTTTAGCCAGAACAAGCTCTCGCTCAGTTCAGAAGCAGCTTTACGTAGGAAATGAGCCTCGATTTCATTGTTCTGCCCTCCGTACCCGACTGTGCAGCAAAACTGTGGCTCTTTTGCCGTGCCTGGCTGAGATCCTGCTCTCGCCGAGGTTTCTGACCGGGCAGGGGAAGGTGGCTCTTGGTCTGCAGCTTGAAGGCTCCTGCAGACTGAAAGCACCAGCGCTCTCCTCCCTGCAGCGCGTGTTCCCCTACATCTCTGCGATGGTGAACAACGGCTCCCTGACGTACGACCACAGTAAGGACGGGCGCTGGACGGAGCTGGCGGGGTGCACCGCCGACCTTCGGAACCAGAACCACGACACTTTCCTGGCGATTCGGTACTCCCGAGGCCGCCTGACGGTGAGATGTGGCAAACGCCTTCCGCAGGGCGTCCCGTGCACGTTAGACGGAGCAGTGCTGAGGCGCGGGTGCTGCTGTGTCAGTAGGTGACCTGGAGATGGTTTTCCAGGCTCGACCGCCTGCGCCTCCAGCTCCAGAAGAGCTGCAGGTGGGCAGGCTGGCAGCGTGCGTTCTCGGTGTGACACTCCCCTGGTCTTACAGGTGATGACCGATGTGGAAGACAAGAACGAGTGGAAGAACTGCATTGACATTGCAGGGGTGCAGCTGCCAACCGGCTACTTCTTCGGTGCTTCTGCTGGCACTGGAGATCTGTCTGGTGAGAGCGGGCTTTGCTTTGCGGGAATACCTACTGTTTGGAGCCTGGGATACAATGCTATGGATGCACTGGGTGGCTGCGATGGCCTCTTTTCCCTGAATAGCTAAAATCTTGAAACCCTGTTGGGTAGGGACCCGTGGCCTGAGAAGGGAGGCACCTAAGAGCTAAGGAACATCTCAAATTGCAGTTTGATACCTGGGGTGTGAGGGTGGCTTGAAAGGGAAGGAGACCTGGACCTGGCAGAGCATGGACCTAAGGTCCTCTGAGCGTGTGGACATCTCTCAGAGCTTCTGACAGCGTTTGGTGCTGATGGTTGTTTCCTAGACAATCACGACATTATCTCAATGAAGCTATTCCAGCTCATGGTGGAGCACCCTCTAGAAGATGAGACTGTTGACTGGACCAAGATTGAGCCTAGCGTCAGCCTCCTTAAATCACCCAAAGGTGAGTCTCCGGGCTTCGGAAACCTTTGGCAGAGCATTGGGATGCTGGGGCTGGACTCTTAGAGGCCCGTTGAAAGGTGTCAGAGGTGTGGGTCCCCGCGAGACCGGGTCGCTCTCTGTAGCTGTTCTTGTCCTTGCAGACAACGTGGATGACCCAACGGGGAATTTCCGAAGCGGGCCTCTGACGGGCTGGAAGGTGTTCCTGCTCCTGCTCTGCGCGCTGCTGGGCATCATCGTCTGCGCTGTGGTGGGAGCCGTGGTCTTCCAGAAACGCCAGGAGCGGAACAAGCGTTTCTACTAGCAGGAGGCCTGGGCCGTGGCCTGTGCCCAAACCCATCTTTTCTATGGGGAGCTGTAAAAACTGTGGTTTCTAAAGCTGTTTCTGAGAAATATCAGAAGTATTTTCTTATCTGTCTGTTTGGCTGTAACCCCTGCCCGGTGTCCGGCGGGTTGGACCGAGGGGGGCGATGCCTGCTGGGACTCTCAGGGCTGCGGCGGGGGAGCCCGGA